GGTAGAGGTTGGCGAAGGGAAGGAGGTCAACTGCTATTAGTGGGCGGAGCACGCACTTAAGTGGGCGGAGTTTGCCAAAAGTGTCGTAATTTGGTACCAAGAGGTCCCAGAGACCGGTGAAAAAAGGGGTAGAGGTTGGCGAAGGGAAGGAGGTCAACTGCTATTAGTGGGCGGAGCACGCACCTAAGTGGGCGGAGTTTGCCAAAAGTGTCGCAATTTCGGTTCCAAGAGGTCCTAGAGATAGGGGAAAACGGGGTAGAGGTTGGCGAAAGGAAGGGGGCCAAATGCTATTGGTGGGCGGAGCACGCACCTAAGTGGGCGGAGTTTGCCAAAAGTGTCGTAATTTGGTTCCAAGAGGTCCCAGAGACCGGTGAAAAAGGGGTAGAGGTCGGCGAAAGGAAGGGGGCCAAATGCTATTGGTGGGCGGGGCACGCACCGAAGTAGGCGGAGTTTGCCACGAGATTTATTGTCCGGAAGCAGTCCGGAGACCGGAAAAAGAGGATAATGGTTGACGAAGAAAAAGAGGTTGAAAGCCGTCGATGATGGAGCGGATAGAATTTAGCTGAGAATTCAGATATTCGTGGTGTATCAAGCCAAATTTGAAAATTTTCGTCGCACCATCAAAATTCGCCGCAGATCTGTGTTGTGCGCGCAATGCGTGCGGCGCCAACTGGTATAAAATATTTTTGCAAGTTCATTCGCTCCATTCTTCCACCTTTGTGAGAAGGGCGTATTTGAAAGCAGTACAAAGAATGAAAGTGTCCCCGCAAAGAAGGGCCACATGTGCACACGCGCTGCAAAGGCACCTCCTCTATCTATCGCCCGCTCCTTCTCCCTTAATACCTCGTTGAGAATACACTGTTGTTAGGGACGCTGTCGCAAAAACGACAACCGTGAAGAAAGAGCTCTGGGCAAATGAACTGTTTCTTAGGTTATAGGTGTTACGGAATGTTTTTGATGTATTTGATTGTAGCGCACTTGCCCGGTAAGCAAGAGGTGCGGGTTCGAGTCCCGTCTGGGGCGAAAGTTTTGTTCACAACCCAGCATTCTTCGTGTTTGCCACAGTACAGTTTCTGTCAAAAGGTCATCTTATAGTATCTTTTTATCGTCCAAAACTTTGATTGGAGTTCCAATGCATGGCCTACACTGGGACGAGATCGCACGATGACCTGCCCCCTTTCTTGTCGCTCAACTGGATTTTTATTCTTAATTTGAAAGAATGAATTCTAGACGCATTTTGTGAATTACCAACGATTTAATTTGCAGTGGTGAAGAAGGAAGGGACTTGAATATCACTTGGTGTGCATATGCACCCAAAGTCTTGCCAATCACGCCTTAGTTCTGCTTGGTAGAAGCATGGCTTCGTCAGTTTTGAAATCTCTTTCACCTTTTATGGGCTCTTCCAGTAGTTTCTTATCTATCACCATTGTTCGCTTTCTCCATTCCGCACTTTAGCTGTGGGAATTCCATTTCGGCGCAATATGGCTCGGAGAATGGGACAAGGCGGGTTACGGAAATGCTTACTTTTGAGACTAGCTTAACTTAAGCTTAGACTAAGCCGTTTGACATTCAAACATGGCGGCGATGAGGTATATAGCACATAGACTACACACCGAGATGGGAGAAACTCAAGGGAGAACACAATCCGCTCACATCCTCCTCCAGAGTCCCTTTCCCTCCACTTAGTCCTGCGTGCTGGAACTGGCCCACAACATCTATGTCCCCCCGGCCTCGAACATTATGAGGGACCCGGGACCGCTTAGCAATTTTTCTCATGTTTTGCATTGCCGCTCTGTAGCTCATCCTAGGCTTCCTCCAACCGTATTCTAATGCGTCACCCATCACACGCCATCCATCTGATCCTACTCCAACTTACGAAGACAGGCAACAGGAGGATAGTACAGCTATTCCGCGGGGGGGTACGGACACGCGGTAGTACTGGCCCCCCCCCAAGCACATGCTGCCTCCATTTCTTTTCAAATCTCCAAGCAGTCTTCTCATGGCATTGCGGAGCGGTTTACTTTAACCCTTTCCGGACCGCGCACTTTTTGCGCTCACGGCCGCATGCTGCGCGGCAAGCATAAATATCATATATTTAATCTGTATTCCCACTAAAGCCATTATTTTGTCTCGTTTATGTCTTTGTCATGTCTCGAAGAATATATAAGATTAATTTGACAGAAAACTGTTTTGCAAAAAAAGGGAAAGGGCCATAAAAAGGGAGGAAGGGACGAAAATTGTTCAAAATAAGTTGGTATGGAGAAAAAGGGAGTAGAACGTGCCCAAAACGATTGGATCCATAAGAATCAGATACGACGAGCAGGATATTTCACAAATTCTTCGTTTTTAAGTGTTTTCAAGCGAACTACAACTGTTTTCTTTGAGCCCAAAGTGGAAGTCCATTTACTTTTGGTTATTTTAGGAACCTAGATTAAGCCTAAAGTCTAGGTTTTTTCATACATATGGCATGAGTCTGTTACATAGAGTTGTAACAACATAAAATAT